AGGTTATTTAATATTTAATTTTCATAATAAGAGTGTTCAGAAATTTGGGACTTAAATACGGATTTGATGCACGAGAAAATAGTGACATATTGGACGTGAAGAAGGGAGCAAGTTGCACGTGGGGAAAAAAACGTGCCTGATTTAAATGTCACACCTGAACGCTCACATCCTTTTAATTATGTTTGAAATTATGAACATTGCTCAACATCATGAAAATTAAACCTTATTTTCAATAAGCAATCCTGAAAAATATTTGGGGGTGCTTAACTTTTTTCCAGGTGTATATAATACATCAATATTAGAAAAACACAGAGTAAGCCCATAACCATCTTAAAACATATGTGTATTAACTAAAAGTTTACTGAATGTTACTCATCAACTAGTTCTTTCTTTACATTGTATCCTGCTTGCATTCAGTGCAACATGATTTGACTGTGATGCATAACATTAGTGATGGATTGGTTAATAATAAAAATTGAACATAAAGAAAGTTCAAGAATGTGAGTGAACAAATGTATGATAACAATGGGGATAATACAGTGTTGTTGGGCCTTAGGAGTAATTCAATCAAAAAGATTAGCGTCAATGTACTAATAATACACTTATTCTATCAAAAACACCTCTATTAATATACCTATGCATCTGACAGTGTATAGAACATATTGGTTTCTTATAATGCTACATCTTAGAATATATAAATACCTTTAAATGTTCATATTCATAGAACCAATTTGTCATCCTTATTTAATTTCAAACACATATATCTCCTCTTTATGATTCTGTGCTTCCTCAGATCAAATGTGACAGAATACTTAAGAGCAAGCTTTCAGGTATGTAGTTAGACAGATACAAGCATATGAATAAATGAAACTTGGCAATTTGTGAAGAATTTAAACAGTCAAAAATAAAACAAAGATTTAAAATTACTTACGGTTTACCTCCTGAAATAGAACCAAATCCTGCAGGCCTTATAGCTGGATGAGATTCATAGGCAACCTGTACATCATTGTAAAAAAAGAATAACAGATAAAGCTATATAAACCCAAGAAAACATTATATTCTAGAATATACGAGTGTAAAAAACAATGTTTCGTTACTGCAAACATTAAATCAAGTTAAAATGATGCAAGAAAGATATACATCTGTTTAGATAGCCAATGTTCTTATGAAATAAAATACACACTTTCTCCAAGTATAAACATAACAACTGATAAAAACTGACCTAATCCAGACATATATAATTGAATGTATGCTACATGTAGCAACTTTTTATCAACAGTTTAACTGCATTATTGAAGATAACAGGAACACCTTAGAGATTAGAATGTTGACACTTGTATTATAAAAGATCATACAAAATCAAAATTTGTTAAACAAACGGGTTCTCCTTGCTATCAGTTGCACTACTTTAACCTGGATACACTTTGCAGCCACATAGTTAAGTGGTTAAGTCTTTTTTTTTTAACTATCACAAAAAATTAATTTATTTTGGAGATCTGTATTAATACCAAAGCCAAGAGTAAATATCAAAACACTAACCATTGATCGAGGGTAAGAGTTGAGAGCAGGAGAAATATTATTATGTAAAACACCTTGTGAATAGCTTGCGTTCGAGCTGAGATCAGCAGGCATTGAAGGGAGAGACCCAGAAGGTCCTCCTGGTAAGGGATATGCATATGGAGCACCTACAAAAATAAAGAACATTAGATAATTAAATAAAGCAAGGTGACAAAATGTCATTACCCTCACTGATGTTAGTCCCTCTATCAACCAGAAAAGCCAACCAAAACTGAGTGTTGGCCTATTATTCTTATAAAATAACAGTATACAAAATACCAAAGGGAAAAGTATTCCAGATCTTACATACCTGTAAGTGAATAAGGACAGATATGGAATCCATATTATTAGATCTGAATAAGCTACGGCCAGATCTGTCAAATTCAGTTCAAATCTGGTATTTTTTTTTTGTAAGGGTCATCACTGTTTCCATCATGATTATATACATGTTTTGTAAAAATGAAACCAAAGCTGCACACAGTAATCTACAAAGATTTCTCCATGCAAAGACTTATACAAGGATATAATAATTTTTTTTAGACATAAATTTAAAATTTCTACAAGTAAATCCAAAAATTATTATTTTTCTAGCCAAAAATGACTAATGAACAACAAATATTCCAAATAGACACTTGAGAGTTTTCATTTTCTCAGTCAACACTCTTTTGCTTTAAACACCCAGATGTACTGTTACAACAGTGGAAGTCACGTGATGCTGGTAACACGTCATAAGATTCTAGAAGGATCTTGACTTTTCCTGGCAATACTAGTCTTTTCTAGGCACCCTCTATTTCAGTATATAAGCCCGGCAAATAAAGCGGAGATACAATTGCAGATAGATAGATATAGAGACAGATAATTGAGTCAAGCGAGCAGTAGTGACCGTAAGTAAAGTGTATAAATCGTTGTGAATTATAGCGTGTGTTTAAGTTAAAGTGACAGTAATATAAAGTGTGTGTTTTGTTATTGAGAATGCAAACGTATTAACTGTGGAAATTCTGTGTATTGCAAAGTTGTATTGAGAAAGAATAAACTAGTTTTATTTAAGAAAGGACTTGTATCGCTGAAGTTCCTCAGGAAGAATTTATACCGCAAATCAACAAACGACCAGAGACGTAACAATACTAACTAAAACGTTCTGAAAGTCAAGGAACATAGTATATATTAAGGTAGAGAAAACAGAAGCCCTATCAAAAATTCTAATGCTGAGTATTGTGTGTTAATTATTAAATTTGAAGATTTTTTTTTTCACTCAGATTCTGACAATTGATGCTATTACTTTCCTAACAAAAAAGGCAAACTAATAAGACTGTAATTTGCCCTGAAAAGTCTTGACAGAAAAAGCATTAAACCAAAATATTGTTGCGTCATCGAGTCACA